AAAAAAAAAAAAAAAAAAAAAAATGGCGGGGGGAGAAATGGTCACAGGTTAAAAGAGACTTAAGAGGCATATCAGCCGAATCCTAATTCAAGCAAACCAACTGTAAAAAGGCATTTATGGGACAATTGGGATTAAGTAAACGCTGACCAGATATCTGACGATTTAAGGAATTTTTTTACGCATAATAAGGGTATCATCACCATGTTTTAAAGAGGAGAGTATCTTTTATAGAGACATATGGAAGAATTTATAAAGAGATATACTGAAGTATTTATGGATGAGATTATATTAATGTCTGGGATTTCCTTTACAAGTCATCTAGCCAGGCGGGGGATGGTGATGAAGGGAAAGAATGTAGGGATGGGGTATAGATGAGACAAGACTGGGTGTGATTGATACTGTTGATGAGCACATGAGGGTTCATTATACTTTATTTCTACTCTTGTGTATCTCTGAAATTTTTCTTAATAAAATATAGCACCACCGAAACCTGGTTTACAGGACCACATCAAGGGTTAGGGCCAAATAACTAAACGGCTGCTGTAACACGTGGGGAAGAGATTGAGATATTTAAAGGTGACTGTTATTCTGTGACCAGCATGTCGCTGAATGTACAATGTGGGGTGTGTGTTTGGCCATTTGTGTAGAAGTATAGTGTACCTGTTTTACAAACAGACTGAAAACATCTATTAATGTCTGAACTAGTTGTGCTATCCAGTTTTTGTCCATTAGTGTTAAAAAGCACGTTTCCTTACCTTTTTAAAATTTAAAAAAGATTTTCAAACATTTAAGGAGGATTCAATATTTTAGTATTGAGGATGGAACTCTTTCCTTATTATTATTTTTCTTAGAAGATATATAGAAAAAGTGTGCTTACAATTAGAAAGATGTGGGCCACAACCACTTTAAATTCTATTCAGGGAAAGCGGTGTTTTGTTTGGTTGCTCCCCCAACCCCCTTTATGTTTTTGGTGAAAGGTGGTTCTCTTCTGCTGTGACGAACTTTGGAGTGGGGCACTTGCCTAGATCAATTGATTCTTGAATTGTTCCCGTAACAGTCACATTTAAAACTCTTTATAAACTAATAATACAAGAGATTCTATCATTCCTTTCTCCTAAAAATAACTGCACACTGAATTCAGTGATGGGGCAGCAAATACACTTTCTGCAGTTCGCCTCTCTCAGTTCACAGACAGGTACAGCCCAACACGGAGGCTTTTTCAGCTTTGTAGGTAGTCTTCTTGTGTCTTATAATTTTTGAAAAGGAATCCAAGTATGTATGTTCTAAATTAACAAGAAATTTGGTATATTAAACGTGCACATGCAAAAATTCTCTATCTTATTTTGGCAGACACTGTATAAAGAAAGTCGGGAGGCACAGTTTTATTTGGTAGATTCAGAAGTACTGACACATGATGTCCCCTACCATGATTACTTCTATACCTTGAACAGATACTGTATCATCCGATCTTCAAAACAGAAATGCAGGCTAAGGTGAGCTGTCGTAAATGAGTGTGTTAGTCAAGATAGGCTAAATGATGCTCTTGTGACACATTACTCCTGAAGGTTTAGTAATAGCTGTACACAACAAAGCCTTATTTCTTGCTCAAATTACACACCCAACAGTGGTGAGCAGAGACGTGGGGCTCCTCCCTCCAGGCCCAAACCCAGTGAAGGTGTTGACATCTTGGCACTGCATAATCCAGAACGAGTGTTGTTTCAGTTGCTGCAGGAAGAAAGAGCTGTAGAATTGTGCATGGGCTTACCATTTTTTAGCCAGAACTAGTCACATGACCCTCTCTAATGGCAAGAGGGCTGGGAGTCCTTGGGGTTCAGTGGTACAGTTCTCGCCCTCCATGTGGGAGACCCGGCTCAATTCCCAGCTAATGCACCTCATGCACAGCCACCACCTGTCTGTCAGGGGAGGCTTGCTGTTGCTATGATGCTGAGCAGGTTTCACTGGAGCTTTCAGACTAAGACAAACTAGGAAGAAAGGCCTGGAAAAAAATCTTCCAAAAATCAACCAGTGAAAACATTATGGATCACAACGGTCCAGTCCATAACCGATCATGGAGATGGCGCAAGACTGGGCAGCATTTCACTCTGTTGTGCATGGGGTCACCATGGGTTGGAGGCTGAATCAACGGCAGCTAACAACAACGTGGTGAGCAGTAAGTGACTCTGCTGCCACGAGAACTGTTGGTGCATTAAAGATCGTGATGGGCTATCATGTGCTTGGCCTAGTCCAACTTACGTAGTCACTTTCAACTAATTTACAATCATTGGTGGCACAGTGGGTAGGAGCCCGGCTGCTAACCAAAAGGTTGGCAGTTTGAATCCACCAGCTGCTCCTTGGAAACCTATGGGGCAGTTCTACTCTGTCCTGTAGGGTTGCTATGAGTCAAAATTGACTCGACGGCAACAGGTTTGGTTATTTTTTAAGAGATTTTTTGTACAAGGCATTTAGAAAATTTAGAATTTATTTTGAAGCTTTATTGCTATTTAGGTAAAAAAAATAAAGGAAGGAAAATAGAGAAATAGAGAAAGGGAAGAAGGAAAATGACAATTTTTAGAAGGAAAAGTTGATAAAATTATTACAGTACCGAATACTTTTTTGAAGAAGTCATCAGTAAATGAATTTTCTTTTAGAATCTCAATGACTTTGAATCTTCTTTGTGGTTTTCCACTGAATCCAATCTTACACTTAATTGCAATGTTAATGTAACTAAAGTCTGTTCCTTAAATATGTATTCTGAATGCATACATCACCTTTTTTCCTTCTTATCCTGTTAGAGTTTCCACAGATTTGAAATACAGAAAACAGCCATGGGGCCTTGTCAAATCTTTAATTGAGAAGAATTCGTGGAGTTCATTGGAGGATTATTTCAAACAGCTTGGTTTGTAAATTTTTTTATTTATCTGCTTTTGTAAAGATGGTATTTATTCACAAAGTGGATTATTCATTTGGATTTGTAGCAGGACCTGGTGGGTGGTATTGGAATGACTCCTACTGAAGGGCTTCCAGCTATCCCACGTGCTCTGCCACCTGAGGAAGTTCTGAACTTCACATCTTTGTTCATCTAACAAATACTTGTGTAACGTTTATTATAGGCCAGGCATTATTCCGTGTGCATTATAAATATTAACTCATTCCATACTCGTAACAACCTCTGAGGTAGGGAGTATTTTTTTTTTTTTCCATTTTAATAAAGATAAAATTGAGACAGAGATCACAAGCCCGAGATCACAAGCCCAAGATCACACAGCTAGGAGCTGTCACATTCCCTGCCTCTGCAGTGAGCCAAGGAAGCTGACTCAGGGAGGGACTGCATAACCTGACCATAAATACACACTTGTGCTTGCTAAGGTTTGAAACACCCTCAGGCCCACACTTTCCTTATTGGATGCTGTCCACTAGCAGTGTGTTTTGTACACGTATGGACTTGGTGGAGGCAGATGCTGGAAGCTGACTGGGGAGGAGTGATACAGTTCTGTTTGGATATTCCTTAAAATATACATGATGAAAAAATATGTACATACATAAACGTAATTAATTTTAAAGAAAAGCTGCTGGTCAGTACACTCAGGGTAATTTAAAGCCTTATTTTCCTTGCTATTCTCCCTTTGGCTATTTCATTATTAATCTCCTAATCAGAAGCAGAGAAAATGAAACTCAAAAATTAGTTTGGCCACTGGATAATGAGCTTCTAATAAAAAAGTCTGGAGAAGAAAAAGGTTGAAACAAATGACAAAAATGAGGTTTTTAGGTTGTTTGCAGATTTTCTTCACTGGTGCTTCCTCTCTCTCAAACTGTCATTGGAAATTAGAGCTATTATGTGCTGCTCCTTTCTCTGAGGTTGACACTCCAGTACCATGACCTACCCTGGAAATTCTTCTAATGACCCAGTGTAAGTAGGCAGCCTGTTGTTTCCATAAGTGAAATAGCTGCATTAATATTTAATATAGCACATGGTACATTTGCTCTAATGATGCTGTCATTTGTTAATACAGTTCATTCTTCCTAGAATAAGGAAATCTCATTATGGGGTCATTGTACTCTCTAAGGCTTCTCATTAAGGGTAAGGTTGGAATTTAGGCCATAAGAACCTAAGGAATAGTTAAACAAAGTTACCAATTCTGAAAAAACAAACAAGAAATGAGACAACAGTCAAAAAGCCCTTGTATCTTGCAGTTGAGAAGGTTTTCCCCTGTTTAAATAGATTATTTTTTTATTTCCTTATTAGAATCACATTTGTTAATGGAAGAATCTATGTTAAACCAGTCCATTGAAGACTCTGGAAAACTTAGCGGCCTACGAAGGAGAAGGAGAACATTCAACGTAACAGCAGAAGTAGCTCCTAAACTTTCTTCTCAGCGGTCTTCTGGAGATGTGGGCTTAGATGTCAAAGGGGATATTACAGGTAGTGGTAAACAGATAAAATATGTTTAGTTTAGTTTTATGAGGCAGAATGTGCCCTTGTATATAAGCGAAGACAATTAGGGGGTCTCCTTTTCTCCCCTCCATTTTTGATAATGTTTATCAAACTCTGAGTTCCTTAAAGATAACTAACACATAGATCTAAAACAGCGGTTGCAAAATGGCAGGTGTATGGCCAATAGAAGTATTTTATTTGGCCCACGTGGTATTTTAAAAATGGAGTATTTTTATATAAAAAAATCAGACCCGACAGCTCTGGACCCAAATCCCCTCATTACAACAGTTGGCTGGAGCTTAGTAGTAGCTGCCCCGTAGACTGAGTGTTGCTCCCCATTCACCACGGTCCCCACCACTCTCCCCTGCTCCTGGACGCCTTGCTCATTTATGCTTCTTGCTAGCATTTGCACACAGCTGATTTCTGTCTTTGAGTTTACCGCGATGATTATATGCTTTCAGTCTTATGCACTATCGGCCAGCCCAGCAATGTTGCAAAGATGGAATCTGACTTTGATTATCCCCACTCTCAATTTTGAAGACGCCCTGCCTCTACTGTTATTCCCTCTGTCTCAGAGGTGTAATAATCATTATTAAATCCCCTTCCAGGACTTATTATGAATATGTTTATCCATTATTTAAGATTAATGGCTCTTTAATTTTGAAATTTAAAAGTTTAGGCATTAGAGAACAAGTGAGGGTGATGTTTTTCTTTTTTAAAGAGAGAAACATTCTACATAAACCCAACGCAAATATTATTTGCAGAGATAATACTTAGCTAGAGATCATATATGATGTATTGAATTGCTTAGAGTACATTAATTTGTAATATAGGCCAGATTTGAAGGATTGATGTAGGTTTTACTTCCTCAGATTTGTTTCATACTACTCAATACATCAGAAATCAAAAAAGGGGTGCAGGGAATTCACCCTAAATCCTTTTGTCCTTAGAAATAATTATTTTAAAATTTCTTTTCCAGTTCTTTTCAAATGAATATTAAATGAACAGTTGTAATCATAATCCTGATTCTAATGCACTAATACAGCCTTTTTCTTTTTTTCTTTTTTGATCTGTAGAAAAGAAAAAAGAAATGGAAAGCTATAACACCACTCTTATTGTGGTGATGAGTATTTCGTAAGTATTTGTTTTGAATGCTTATTTTGTTTGTGCATTTATCTTTTAACTAGTTTCAAAAAAGGATTTGAATCAAATTGTATATTATTGTGTAGAAATTGCCAATATTTGGCAATTTCTTTTCTGCAAAATAGTAGTGTCATATGCTTCAATCTGATAGTTTTTTATGTATGACTTATTTTCAGAATTATTAAATTTGAGGGAATACAAAGTACACATCCAATAAATGTCTTTATTTTTAGAATAATCTGATTTCTACCACAGGTTTTTTGTGGGAAGTTTGATAAATTTAAAGGGAATATTTATACATATATAAAAAAGAACCTGTTGCCACTGAGTCAATTCCGACTCATAGCAACCCTATAGGACAGAGTAGAACTGCCCCATAGGGCTTCCAAGTAGCAGCTGGTGGATTTGAACTGCCCACCTTTTGTTTAGCAGCTGAGCTCTTAACCAGTGTGCCACCAGGGCTCCACTTATGTATATACCCAAAAATCCACCGCTGTCGAGTTGCTTTCCGACTCATAGTGACCCTATAGGACAGAGTAGAATTGCCCCATAGTTTCCAAGGAGCGCCTGGTGGATTCAAACCACCGACCTTTTTGGTTAGCAGCCATAGCTCTTAACCACTACGCCACCAGGGTTTCCAATCATATATACAGGCCCGTGAAATCCTAGTAATACTATTTTATTCCATTTGATCGGAAGAGTGGTTCTTATCCTTTACTGTGCAAATCACTTGGGGAGCTTGCTAAAATGCAATTCCCAGGCTTCAGTCCCAGAGATTGATTTAGTAGGTCTTGAGTAGGGATCAGGAATCAGTATTTTAAAACACACACCCCAGGCTATTCAGAGGGAAGTTGTCTGAGGACCACATGGTAAGAAATACTGGGACAATTAGTCTGAATCAGAGTATTCCATAGGAATCTACCCAACCAGTCATATTTAGACTACTAATATCTACATGGCTCTATCTGAATATTGAGGTAGTCCATTAGATTTTATTGAATTGTTTCTGACTTGGTGATAACACTCTGGTTTTTGGAATAAAGCTTTTATATCAGCTGCTTTTCCTAATTATAGATTTCAGAAGATAAAAAATGTTTGAGTTCCTTTTAGTTTTTGAAAAGGTTTTAATATTCTGATTAAATAGGTTTGCTGTGTTAGTTTTGTAGTAAATATTATTTGTGATCATTTGCATTACTTGCAGAAAATTTAACTCAGATGTTGAAATGTTGACCGATACCCCATTTCACCACCACTCGTCTGTCAGTTTGTTGTACTGTGGTGGCTTGCATGTTGCTGTGATGCTGGAAGCTGTGCCACTGGTATTTCAAATACCAGCAGGGTCACCCATGGTGGACAGGTTTCAGTGGAGCTTCCAGACTAAGACCGACTAGGAAGAAGGAACTGGCAGTCTACTTCTGAAAAAACTGGCCAGTGAACACCTTATGAATAGCAGCAGAACATTGTCCGATATAGTGCCGGAAGATGAGCCCTCAGGTTGGAAGGCATACAAAAGACGACTGGGGAAGAACTGCCTCCTCAAAGTAGAGTCAACCTTAATGACATGGATGGAGTCAAGGTTGCAGGACCTTCATTTGCTGATGTGGCATCACTCAAAATGAGAAGAAACAACTGCAAATATCCGTTAATAATCGGGACATGGAATTAACAAAGTATGAATCTAGGAAAATTGGAATTCAAAATGAAATGGAATGCTTAAAGATAGATATCCTAGGCATTAGTGAGCTGAAATGGGCTGGTATTGGCCATTCTGAATTGGACAATCATATGGTCTACTATGGCAGGAGTGACAAATTGAAAAGGAACAGCATCCCATTCATTGTCAGAAAGAACATTTCTAGGTCTATCCTGAAGTACAGTGCTGTCAGTGATAGGATAATATCCATATGCCTACAAGGAAGACCAGTTAATATGACTGTTATTCAAATTTATACACCAACCACTAAGGCCAAAGATGAAGAAATTGAAGATTTTTTACCAACTTCTGCAGTCTGAAATTGATCAAACATGCAATCAAGATGCATTGATAATTACTGGTGATTGGAATGTGAAAGTTAGAAACAAAGAAGGATCAGTAGTTGGAAAATACGGCCTTGGTGATAGAAATGATGCTGGAGATCACATGATAGAATTTTTCAGGACCAACAGCCTATTCATTGGAAATACCTTTTTCAAAAACATAAACAGCAGCTATACACGTGGACCTCACCAGATGGAATGCACAGGAATCAAATCGACTACATCTGTGGAAAGAGATGATGGAGAATAAGGCCAGGGGCCAACTGCAGGACGGACCATCAATGGCTTGTATGCAAGTTAAAGTCGAAGCTGAAAAAATTTTTTAAAAAGTCTACGAGAGTCAAAATACGACCTTGAGTATATCCCACCTGAATTTAGAGACCATCTCAAGAGTAGAGTTGACACATTGAATACTAATGACCAAAGACCAGATGTGTTGTGGGATGACATCAAGGATATCATACATGAAGAAAGCAAAAGCCCATTAAAAAGAAAGAAAAAACCAAAATAGATGTCAGAAGGGACTCTGAAACTTGCTCTTGAACATAGAGTAGCTAAAGTGAATGGAAGAAATGATGAAGTAAAAGAGCTGAACAGAAGATTTCAAAGGGCAGCTTGAGAAGACAAACTATTATAATGAAATGTGCAAAGATCTGGAGTTAGAAAACCAAAAGGGAAAAACACACTCAGCATTTCTCAAGGTGAAAGAACTGCAGAAAAAATTCAAGCCTCAAGTTGCAATATTGAAGGATTCTATGGGCAAAATATTAAATGATGCAGGAAGCATCAAAAGTAGATTGAAGGAATACAGAGTCACTGTACCAAAAAGAACTGGTCGATGTTCAACCTTTTCAGGAGGTAGTATATGATAAAAAACTGATGGTATTAAAGGAAGAAGTCCAAGCTGCACTGAAGGCACTGGTGAAAAAGAAGACTCCAGGAATTGACAGAATATCATTTGAAATGTTTCAACCAATAGATGCAGTGCTGGAAGTGCTCATTCGTCTATGCCAAGAAATTTGGAACAGCCATCTGGCGAACTGAATGGAAGAGATCGTATTTGTGCCCATTCCAAAGAAAGATGATCCAACCAAATGCAGAAATTATCAAACAATATTATTAATGTCACCTACAAGTAAAATTTTCTGAAGATAATTCAAAAACGATTGCAGCAGTACATTGACAAGAACTGCCAGAAATTCAAGCCAGATTCAGAAGAGGACATGGAATGAGGGATATCATGGAATGAGGGATATCATTGCTGATGTCAGATGGATCATGGTTGAAAGTAGAGAATACCAGAAAGATGTTTACCTGTGTTTTATTAACTATGCAAAGGAATTCAACTGTGTGCATCATAACAAATTATGGATAACATTGTGAATAATGGAAATTCCAGAACACTTAATTGTGCTCATGCAGAACCTGTACATGGACCAAGAGGCAGTCGTTTGAACAGAACAAGGGAACACTGCGTGGTTTAAAATCAAGAAAGGTGTGCATCAGGGATGTGTCTTTTCACCATACTTATTCAATCTGTATGCTGAGCAAATAGTCCGAGACACTGGACTATATTAAGAAGAACGGGGCATCAGGATTGGAGGAAGACTCATTAACAACCTGTGACATATGGATGATTCAACCTTGCTTGCTGAAAGTGAAGAGGACTTGAAATACTTACTGATAAAGATCAAAGACCACAGCCTTCAGTATGGGTTACACCTCAACATAAACAAAACAAATTCACCACAACTGGACCAATAAAGCAGACAAACGGAAAAAATATTGAAGTTGTCAAGGATTTCATTTTACTTGGATCTACAATCAACACCCATGGAAGCAGCAGTCAAGAAATCAAAAGACGCACTGCATCGGGCAAATCTGCTGCAAAACACCTCTTTAAAGTGTTAAAAAGGAACAGTGTTACTGTGAGGACTAAGGTGTTCCTGACCCAAGCCGTGGTATTTTCAGTCACGTCATATGCATGCGAAAGCTTGATAATAAATAAGGAAGACCAAAGAAGAATTTACGCCTTTGAATTATGGTGTTGGCGAAGAATATTGAATACACCATGGACTTCCAGAAGAATGAACAAATCTGTCTTGGAAGAAGTACAGCCAGAATGCTCCTTAGAAGCCAAGATGGCGAGACTTTCTCTCAGTACTCTGGACATGTTATCAGGATGGACCAGTTCCTGGAGGACATCATGCTTGGTAGAGGGTCAGCTAAAAAGAGGAAGACCCTCAATGAGATGGATTGACACAGTGGCTGCACAATGGGCTCAGTCATAAAAAAGACTGTGAGGATGGCGCAGGACCAGACAGTGTTTTGTTCTGTCGTTCTCAGGGTTGATATGAGTCGAAACTGACTTGGCGGCACCTAACAACAACAACCCCATTTCAATGCCATAATAATTTCATAGATCTGATTTTCTTGCTACTGCCTTAGTTTTTCTTTTCTTTCTTTTTATTCTCTTCTGGATTGGTAAAGTGAATACTATGTATTTTTAAGGGCAAGTCAATGTTTTAAGAGAATAAGTAGAAAGATATGATGCTACTTACATATTTGTGTATATGTGTAATAAGGTCTGTATTCATTTACTTGAAAGAGTACTGTGAAACTAATAGAGTAAGTTCATTTAAGCATGTAACATTTTACATATGACACAATTAATGTCTATTTGGGATCTGTTACTTCCTTTGTCCAAGATGAACTAAAAGAAAATTTTGCTGAATGATAATTTGTTTTCCACTGGGAATAAGAGGCACATCGTGATCTAAGACTAAGTCCATACTGATCTTCATTTCTTTTTTGAACTGCAGCATTATGGGTGTATAATTGCTTAAGCCAAAAGGTCCCAAAAATAGACCTTGAAAGGTTACCTGATAGATTTCTAAGCTGGTGGCTCCCACATCAAATCAGCTGTGATTTCAGCAAAGAGGAGAGGTGCTAGAGACAACCCCAACTCACTTTGTTTAAGGACTTCATTGTCACTCTGGTTACCTTCCACTGTTCTCCTCAATATCCACTTAATATTTAAAGTAATTTTTTTGCTCAATAAAATAGGGATAATTGATTTAAATAATAACAATAACTGGAAAATAGTCTAGATAATGTGCATTTTGAAGCGTTTGCATGTATATTCTGCATTATTAATGCTTTAGGTCTGGATAGAGTGGATTAACCAGGTATGGTTTGCTCTGCCTAGTTTGCTGTTGCTAGTTTTGTTGAATGTGACACTGTTTATGAAGTTGTCCAAGATAGAATATGCTGCTCAGTCGTTTTACCGTCTCCACCTCCAAGAAGAGAAATCTCTAAAGTAAGTCTTCTTTCCCCCTCCAACCTGTTTTCACCATATTATTTCAATAATTCTTTCACTGGAGAAATTTTATTTCCAATTTCAGAGATTTTGATACATCCTATAGTCATAAACTATTTGTTTTTGTTTGCTTCTTTTCTTAATTTTGTGTTTTATTTGCAAATTTATGGGGGCACTGAAGATTTCTGGAAATGAAATATCGGAAAAGTATTCTCTTGATTTTGAAGATAGTATTGTTCTTGCAGTTTAGCCTCTGACATGGTGTCAAGAGCAGAAAATCCTCAAAAGAACAAAGATCAGGCTCATCGCTTAAAGGGAGTGCTCCGAGACTCCATAGTGATGCTCAAACAGGTAGGCAGCTCTGCGTACCACACTGCTTCTTACCGTCACGCCAGTAGGAATCAGCTTGTCTTCTGGCTATGAGAGAATATTTTATTGTATCAGTATTTGAAGAAATTCGACTCCTAGAGGAAGCTACCCTTGCCAGTTTCTGTGTTATGCATATTATGTGTATACGTAACTCACTGCTGTCAAGTTGATTCCAACTCACAGTGACTTGATAGGAGAGAGTAGAACTGCCCTACAGTTTTTCCAAGGCTGTAATCTTTATGGAGGCAGACTGCCACATCTTTCTCCCATGAAGTGTCTAGTGCATTTGAACTGCTGACCTTTTGGCTCATAGCCAAGTGCTTTAACCACTGCACCACCAGGGCTCCTATATTATGTGTATAGTTGCTTGTATTTATTTATTTATTTTACAAAATGTGAACATACTATACACATTGTCATATATCCTCTCTTTGCAATTAGTAATATATTTTGAAGATTTTCCATATCAGCATATATATATATATGTGTGTGTGTGTGTGTATATATATATATATATATATATATGTGTGTGTGTGTGTGTATATATATATATATATATATTTCTTTTTAGTGATCCTTCTAGAGAAAATTCTATGCGTAACTTTAAGTCTTTTTATAGAAATGGTAGATCCTGTAGACATTGATTATTTTGCTTTTATCTATTAACCATATATCTTGGAGAGACTTCCTTATCAGTATATAAAATGCTTCCTCGTGTTTTTAATGGCTGCATGGGATTCAACTGTATGTATAAAAGTGCCATAATTATTTTACTAGTTTTCCATAGAAGAACAAATATTTAGGTTATTTCTGGTCTTTTTCTATTAACATTAACTCTTGAACATAACATCATCAATGTGTGCTGCTCAGTTGTATACACCAAAACCTAGGGTACTCTTTGAAAAATAAATATTAAATTTTTCCATTATGAATATAATGCTCATTTTTCAAAATTGAAAAACTGACAATAATAGAAGAAAACCTATAGTTCTAGCATTCAGACACAATCTCTGTTAATATTTTTATAAGCTTTTTTTGTAATTCAAGAAAACTTTTTTAATTAGGTTTGTTTTTTATAAGATTCATTATTGGGCATTTCTGTGGTATCCTGTGGGCACCGAAGGGTACAGCTTCGACTAGGCACTCCACTGCTGCAGGTTATCTCCCTTTCTCCTCCCCTTCTCAGCAAGGAATAGATCCCAGACTCTTGCTTTTCTCCTCATCCTGTCCTCCCATTAGCTCCTCACTCTCAACTGATGACTGTGCCTCACAGAGAAAAGAGACACTTTCAGGTGGGACCTCCCCGCTCCTTCAATAACCAAATCTACAAACGTTCCTATCCCGGCACCTACCCTCGTCGTCACTCCTGTTAGGAGAGAGGCGTTCCTGTGTGTGCGAGGGACCAGTCCGACGCCTGTTTTCTGAATTCCGTCCCCCCCTTCATCAGCTGCCCCTCCTGCATGCAGCTGAATCATTAGCGTCAGTGCCGGACCGGCTCTGTTGTCTCCTGTATTAAAACCCCACATTGTTGGCACCCTTCTCCATCGACCACTCTCTTCCTTTCACTGTCATGCTCCTTGAGAGAGTTGCCTGCTCCTGCTGTCACTACTCTATAAGCCACTCACTTTTTAAAGTTTTTCTTTTTACTGAAATCACTCATTCACACAGTTTAAAGAGTTAACTTGTTCTACAAGGTTTGTTCGGAAAAAAAAAGCAATCCGAGCACCCTCTTCTCTTTTTCTTTCCCAAGGACAATTTTCAGCTCTTTTCGTTTGCTCTTTTGGTGCTCACCTCATATTTATAAATAGCAACCAAGTATTGATACTTCTTGATTTCTCCATTTTAAGTATTATTTTTTACTTCCCATCACAGAAGACATCAATGTGATTTTCTTTCCTTTCACCTACTTCTAAGCCCCTCTATCTTCCCAGTGAAGTCATAGCATAATTTTAGTTAGATCAATATTGAGTGTTTACTTAATTTTTACCAAGTCTGCCATTCAGAGCTGAGCTATAAAATAAATCACGACTGCTTTTTTTTTCTGTCTTTTGTTATCCCTGAAATTGTCTTATTATAGTGTTGATAGATGAGTATTATTTGTAAGTATTTCATACCCTCATTCTCTGTTGTATAAGTCTCCTCCCCAAATCTTCATTCCCCTCATTGTTCTATCAATGGAGCCTTCTGACTGGCTCCCATCTGGTCCATTGCCTGGTACACAGCTCTCCTCCTGGGCATTCCCATTGCCTCTGTCCTCTGTTGTATCTGATGTTTCCTGTATTTTCCTCTTTCTTGCTTTGCTCCCTCCTTTTAACAGAGCCTATCCTCCAGGAGCTTCTTGAGAGTATGGAGGTAAATAAGACTTGAGCTGTGTGAACAATTTTTATTCTACCCTCACTTTGATTAATGATTTGGCTGGGAATAGAATTCTGGATTGGAAATAACTTTTCCTTTGGAACTTTTAAGGCATTACTCCATTGTCTTTGGCTTCCAGTGTTACTACTGAGAATTCTGAAGCCATTACCATTCCTGATCCCTTCAATCTGGAAACTCATGCCCTTTTGTTCTGGCAAATTTTCTTGAATTATATAGTTGATTTCCTGCATTTTCTCTCTCCTGTCTTTCTGCAACTCCTGTTATTCGGATGTCTGCCTGCTGTTGCACTGGTTGGCCAATCTTACGTTGTCTTTCCAGTTTTCATCTCTTTGTCTTCTTGCTCCACTTTCTGGGAGATTTCAACTTTATCTTCAGATTCTTCTGTTGAGTTTTTCAATTTTTGCTAACAAGTTTTTAATTTCAAAGAGCTATTATTTCTCTGAATTGTTTCTTTTCTATGGCATTCTGGTCATTTTTAATGGCTCCAGTATCTTCCTTTATCTCTTTGAGCATATTACTGATAGTTCAAAGATATTTTTCTCTTCTTGTATACTCACTTTCTGTCAAGATCCTTTTTGTCCCGTTTTGATTTTTATCTTTCAGGTTAGAGGGCTTCTGGTGGTCTGCTTATGTGGCTCAGAAGCTCTTCACATGTGGGTAGGGCTTGTCTACTTTGAACTTACTCTGTAGATTTGGCTGGGCTATTGGTTGAGAAATCCCGATATTAGGTCTTTCCTCTTGGACTAGTTAGTTTCCACAGAAAGGCCCTTCTAATCTCCCCAATGGATTAAGGGCTGGGTTTTAGGAACCGAGTGAAGGAGGAGGGCTGGGGGAGGGCAGGGTAGAGGGGATGACCTCAGCATCAGTATACGTTTTTTCATGTAACCCCTGTTTTTGGTATGGTGCTACTGTCCTTAACAATGTCTGGTGTGTCCCCCTGAGCTAGAGACCCTCTGTTTTCTCCTCTCCAGAAAATAAAATTCCAGCCTTCTGTCCAGGAAGAAAGAGAGGTCAGATGCCCAGAGTTACATCCAACCATTCTTATTTTGGCCCCTTCCTCTTTATTCCCTTCCATAGATTTCTGGCCCCCAATTCCTCAGGTGTTTGAGGATTCTTCAGAGTAAATTTTGGTTCTCAGTTTTCTCTGTTAACTTGGGACTCAGCGTTTCCCAGGTCGGCTCCATTACCCATCTGCTTTCCAGTGTACCAAGCTGTCTTGCTGTTGCCACCTTTCTTGTTCTCCCCACTCTTGTGGGTTTATGCTTACGAAAAAAATCCCTTTACTCTGCTTTTAGTGGGGTTTCAGAAGGGAGCACAGTTGGGTGCATGTATTCAATCCACTCATTCTCTCTTCAGCTCATTCCTACCTGGTTTTCTTCCTCCACAATTCCACTGATACGCTCTAAGGTGCCCAGTGACCTCTGGCTTATGAAAGTAATGCACCTTTTTTTATTTTCCATCTTACAGGGTCAGCATTTGACAGAACTGACCACTCCCTCTTGAAATACTATCTAATCTTGCTTTCTTAAAACCATTAAAAAAAAAAAAAAGCTTTATTGTGATATAATTCACATACTCTAAAATTCACCCTTTTAAAGTGTGTGATTCAGTGGTTTTAGTATATTCCCAAGTTTGTACAGTCAGCACTGTCGAATTCCAGAACATTTTCTGATGTCCCAAAAGGAACCCTGTACCCATCAGCAGTAACTCCCCATTCTCCCCTCCCCTCAGCTCCAGGCAACCACGAATCTATTTTCTGTTTCTATGGATTTGCCTATTCTGGAGAGTTCTTATAATACGTGACCTTTTGTGACTGGCTTCCCTCACTCAGCATAATGTAAAACTGCTTTTTGCTGGTTAAAACCATCTCCTCTACCTGACCTCTCCGTGACTCAATGCTCCTGGGCTCTGTGTGAGATTCTCCTCCCTTCCCCTCTACTCTTGTTCTAGGTACATAGTCTCATCCACTTCCGTAGCTTTAAACACCACAGGTGCCAGTGACTCCTAAATCCTTACTGCTCTCCCTGACCTCTTCCCTGAGCTCCAGACTCATAGTTATTTCCCTCCTTGGCATCTTCACCTGGACTCAGCTTTTTCAGGTGTGCTCCATCATCCAGATCCTAGCAGGCATCTAGATCGGATCATGCCCACAGCGGAATTCAGTTTTCCTCCCACACCCAAACCTAATTCTCCTCTAGTCGTCCTCATTTGACATTACCATCTTCCAAACACTTAATAAAATGTGTAAGTATCTGTATGTATGTGATTATTTGGGTTCTGTATCCCTCACTAGTGTAAACCCCACGAAGGCAGGAACAGCGCCTGTCCAGTTCACTGTTGTATAACCAATGCTTAGCACAGTGCCCGGCATATAAGCAATAAATACTTGCTAAATGAATGAATACAAAAAAGAATGAGACATAATTCATGCCTTCAAGTTGCCTACAGTTTTATTAGGGAACTCAGATGTCCATGTGTATTGTTAAAGACTATAAAAAGTACAAACTTTTTTAGGTGTCAAAGTCAGTAGTAAGATAGTGCTTTAGAAGCTTAGAGGCAGGGTGATTAGGAAAAACTCCGTGGGCAGTGGGGTTGGGTCAGCTTTAGAAAGGTAAACGTGAGCACAACAGAAGCAGAGACCCGGAGGGGAAACTTGAGTTGTTTAGGGATAGTGAGGAGACCCCTGCAACTTCAGACACCATTGAGGAAAACCAACTTTTCACTTTGGGTCATGCTCGTAGTCGACCTGTTGGGAGGTAGAACATGCAGCAGTCCGTGTAGGAAGAAGTACAGTGCTCCAGCAGATGGGAAGCCAAACCCACAGATACACTAAGGGATCAGGTGTTTTATATTCACCTCTTATTTGGCCATCAGTATAAATACTATTAAATGTAAATGTAAACTTTCGGCATAAAAATAATCAGAAACATTTAAGCAATCTGATTTTGAACATTAATTTTGTTTGCAGCTGAAGAGCTCACTTGTTATGCTCCAGAGAACCTTTGATCTACTGAGTAAGAACAAGACTGGTAGCGCTGCCCAAAGCTAGTGATCTTAAGGACTGCAATAGAGACACTTGGAACTAAAAGAAGACATCTAGAAGAAAACCAAACAATGAAGGATTTTAATTGTCATAGGAACATTTCCATGTTTTCTCATTTTTGGTTTTTCTAATATGAACTTTTTTTCAATAATATTTATTTGATAATTTGTCCTAGCTGGCCTCAAGGATCCTTCCTTTCACTTCTTAAACATAATTCTAAGCTGTGAAGTTCTCCAGTGAACCATGAAATATATTATGGAGTTGAATTTCTCAGGTATGAGAAGAAAATGCACTCTGAATTGAATGGTATAGCCTCATTTTTCTGTGAGGTTTGAGGTTTGGATGCTTTATCTGTTAGTGCAGAATCAGTACTTATCCATAGAATGCTTTTACAGTTGAGACATGTTCAAGAGGCTAAAGAGGACAGACAATGTAAGAAGAAACCTCCAAATATAAGAAGAAAACTTCCAAAAACTAATCTTAAAGGATCAGTTTTCAGGCACATATCATATTTCTAGGTTTGTGTGTCTTCATTTATTTACTGTGCAAATTCAGTAGTCAAACCTTGTAAATATGTATGTTGATGATTATCTGAAGGGTTCTTCAGCCTAGTTGTATCTTTATGAAAGAAACAGTTGCTTTTTCTTAAGGTAGCTCTCAGAGGTGAGATTATCTTGTCTCTTTATACATCAAATAGCAGACGAGCCAATTCAGGAAAAGAGATATGTAGGACTCAAAATGAAGAACTATGCTCTGAGTTTTTAAAACCAGAAGACTGTGTTCAAGTCTGGGCATTTAGTGACAGATAATGAATACTTGAACTAAGCTCAGCTTCAGCTTAGCAGTTGGTCAAAGTGAGACCCCTGGCAGAAAATAATTTATATATTACTTTTCACTAGCCAGATGTGGCTTCACTCTTTATGTATATGTGTGTGGCTTGTTTTAGTGGATAAGTTATAAGCCAGGCATAAGCTTTAGCTCTTTACTGACTTTGAAGCTGTAAGCAGACACAAGCTTTGGCTCTTTCATAAAGTTTTTAGATTTTATGTCTCAATATAAGTGGTTCCCGAAAATAAGGACTTTGTAAACTGACTGGAAGTCAGACTTGTTTTCCCAGAGTTAGGAGTTAGCTCAGGAAGTGTCATAGTGTAGAATGATTTGTATATATTCTTACGTTGAAACAGCTATTGCCTTTAGTTAAATGTTTCGCTTATTTTCTAGAGTCACCAAAGCCCCATGAGATAGCTAAAGTTCTTTTTGAAATGCTAGTAAAGGATGAAAATATTGACTGGAGTAGAGGGACAGTGGGTTTCTCTGGGCAAATCCCAACTAAACTAGCTGGGTGTTCTTCTGTAAGAATTTAAGCAATGTCTGGCTGTGAGCAAGAGTGACTGGAGTGTAAACTTGAAACTTGTTAAGTTCACAAAAATGATCACTGACAAGCTGAATATTTTTGTGACGTTTTCTCAAAACGAGATCATACTCATAAATACCTCAAAGAAAATGACTAAATAAAATATGTATGTATGCACAATTCAGTTAATAAAATTTAAGCCTGTTATGCAAATTGAGTATCAATAAAAATAAAAAAGTCTAAGTTGTATGCACACCCATGTTCATTGCAGCATTATTCACAACAGCAAAAAAGATGGAAACAACCTAAGTGCTCATCAACAGATGAATGGATAAACACATACACACAATGGAGTACTACACAACATTAAAGAGCAATGATGAATCTGCGAAACATCTCAGAACTTGGATGAATCTGGAGAGCATTATGCTGAGTGAAATAAGGCAATCACAAAAGGGCAAATACTGTATGAGACCACTATTATAAAAACTCATGAAAGGGTTTACACACAGAAACAATCTTTGATAGTTATGAGGGAGGGGAAAGGTAGAGAGGGAAAAACACTAACTAGACAGTAGATAAGTGGTAACTTTGGTGAAGGGTAGGATAGTACACAATACTGGGGAAGCCAGCACAACCTGTCCAAAGCAAGGTCATGGAAGCTCCAGAGACACATCCAAATTCCCTGAGGGACTGAATTGCTAGGCTGAGGGCTGTGGGGACCATGGTCTCAGAGGACATCTAGCTCAATTGGCTGTATTTTATAGTTTACAAAGAAAATGTTCTACATCTTACTTTGGTGAATACCGTCTGGGTCTTAAAAGCTTGTCAGTGGCCATCTAAGATACTCCACTGGTTTCACCCCTTCGGGAGCAAGGGATAATGAAGAAAACCAAAGACACAAGGGAAAGATTAGTCCAAAGGACTAATGGACCACAACTATCATAGTCTCCACCAGACTGAGTCCAGCACAACTAGATGGTGCCCAGCTACCACCACCAACTGCTCTGACAGGGATCACAATAGAGGGTCCCAGATGAGGAGGCGAAAAATGCAAAACAAACTTCTAACTCACAAAAAAAGACCATACTTACTGGTCTGACAGAGACTGGAGAAACCCTGAGAGTATGGCCCCTGGACTCCCTTTTAACTCAGTACTGAAGTCACTCCTGTGGTTCACCCTTCAGCCAAAGATTAGACAGGCCTATAAAACAATAATACACATAGTTCAACCATGTATAGGGGACTGGCACACTAACCCAGGTGCAAAGATGAGCAGGCAGGAGAAGACAGGAAAGCTGGAATGGAAATGGGGAACCCAAAGATGAGAAGGGGAGAGTGTTAACATGTCACAGGGTTGGCAACCAATGTTACAAAACAATTCGTGTATTGTTTAATGAGAAACTAATTTGCTCTGTAAACTTTCACCTAAAGCACACACACACAGACGTCTGAGTTGTGGTTTTTCCGCTTAAAAGGCAAAAAAACTAGAAAGGCTGCTTTGGTGAAATGTTTTACGTGGGCCTACACTCTTAAATTCTAAAAATTTTGTGCAAAAATAAAACCCAACGAGGACTATCATCTTATGGCGATTCCATATCAAATATGCAGACTGCTGGGACTGAAGTCTAGACAGCTCTGCTGGTCTGATATAGAGACTGCTTGGCAGAAAGCACCAGAATGAACAAATTGGATAAATTCACAGATTAAGAGAGCTGTGATGGGCCTTTAGGAGAGGCTAGCGAATTTGGGGAGGTCCCTCGGTAACGTTTCGCATGGAGATCCCCCCCAACGCCTGCTACCCGCATCTGAATGCAGGCTGGCAGACCCACGGTCTCACGTAGTTCAGTAACCCTCCCTACCCCGGCTTTCCGCGAGGTCTGTCTCCGGGTCTCCGGGTCTCCGGGTCTCCGGGTCTCCGCACCTCCCCACCTCGCAGCCTCAGGCCTCGGGGCGTGGGCGGGGCCAGGGGCGGGACCAGCTGGGCAAGGTCGGGGCGGGGC